CTCTGTGTTAGGGTGTCAAAGGCCTGTCTAATCACTCTCCTAAACCACTCTCCCCTCATCTCCTGCAGTCCACAGGAAGGTCAGCCTCGTGGGGTGTTCTTTGCAAAGCCACAGAATCTTCCCTTGATAATGACCAAGTTTCCAAGGCAAAAATGGACACATGCTTATGGCATCCACAGGCCCAAAGAGTTGAGGCCAGAGAGACCAAAAGTCCAGGATCTGAGTTGGCCAAGATTCAGGCTTGGAATAGAGCCAAGGATGCAGGTGGACAGGCCTCGGGGTAGATGACAAAGCTGGGGGAATTCTCTTTACCTGCTTTTGCTGGAGGGCTAGATTTTACTATCTCCACTGAAGATCTTGAGAGCACCCATTTCACCCTGGGGCAGGGACGGGCTGCATGTTAGCTTTGAGGCCAGGCCAACCACAAGACAAGAAAAGACACATCCCAACTTCAAAGGGCTGCCGAAGACCAGGGCAGCTGAGCAGAGCTTCATGCCCCCCAAGTGAATCTAGCTGCATCAGGCTCAGGCAGGTGCAGGGTAGGATGGAGCGCTGCCTGCAGGCTCAAGGGGAATCTTAATTGCTAATGGGAGATTAGATTGGTATTTATTTTCCATCCATCTTCATCTTTCAGGAGAACAAATTCTGGGATCTTCTGGGGGAGTCCAACGGATAAAAGTCCTTAAGGGAGAAAAATGGCCCATAAAAATGCATCCTCACTCCTAGACATATTATTTTTATATAAAAATTTCTTTCTTTATCAAAAAGAGATGAGGTTTCACTGTATTGGCCAAGCTGGTCTCAAATTCCTGGGCTCAAGCAGTCCTCCTGCCTCAGCCTTCCAAAGTGTTGGGATTACAGCTGTGAGCTGCTGCACCCTGCCCCTAGACACATTAGAACTTTAATAAGTTTGGAGCATTTTATTTGCTGCTGGAATTATGCTAAGCACTTTATATACATGACCTTGTTTAATCCTCAGGATACCCTAGTATAGAGATGATGACTCTCCTTACTATATGTCCCAAGGAAACAGAGGCTCAGAGACCTTCTCAATGTCGCACAGCTAATAAGTGTCGGTCAGGAGTCAAACCCAGGCCTGACTTCAAGTTCCTCGCCCTTAACCACAGTACTATGTTAGGTCCTTTTTAGGCACACATGTTCACTAAAACCTAGATGTTTTGCTTGCATCTGTTTATCCAACAAACATGTATTAAGTACCTACTATGTGACAGGCCCTGTTTTAGATGCTGGGGATATATAGGGCATAAATAAAACAGACAAAAACCCGTGCTTTCAGTGAAATCAAAATAACATTAAAAGGCAAAAGATTATTGTCTCCCATTTTATAGCTGAAGCAACTGAGGTAGGTATTCCTTTTCATCTGCTTACCCCTCAGATTCATTTATTCACGTGTTTTGTTGTTATTGCTGCTCAGCAAATATTCCTTGATAACTTACTAGGGGTCAGGTGCTGTTCTAGGTGCTGAGGTCCCAGTGGGGATCCAAATAGATATGGTCCCTGCCCTTGTGGAATTAGCGGTATCTTCAGATTGGTCCTGTGTGTCTTCCTAACCTATAGCTGCTACTCAGGGCACATGAACAAGCAGTACTGACTTGTGTCCCCAGGAAGCTGATGCTGTTCCTCAGACAGGCCCAAAGCCAAAGGGGCAAGTCCAGCGGCGTGCAAAACAACCAAGTCAGCACAAGTATTTGGGATCATAGGTGCCCTTTGCTCTTCCCATATGATGATCCCTGCCCCAAGCTGTGTTAGAATGCACTCTGACGTAAATGTTAGTAGGCTCTGTGGGGAGTGGTGGTTCCCACCTGCAATCCCAGGACTTTGGGAGGCTGAGGTGGGAGGATCAAGTGAGCCCAGGACGTCAAGGCTGCAGTGAGCCATGATCATGCCACTGCACATGCAGCTTGGGTGACAAAGTGAGACCCTCATCTCTAAAAAGGTCAGTGTCTCTGGGTGTTAATTAGCTGTGTGACTTTGAGCCAGTGAAGCTCTCCAAGCTTCACTTTCCTCACTCATAACATGGAAATTGAAGCACTTTTCTTGCTTGAATATTTCCAAGAATGAGATGAATTCAAATGAAATAATGGCTATGTGAATATCTAATTTCCTGAACCGTAGATATTATTTCGGTGTCTTCCAGGTCTTCATTTCCTATTACCACAGTGCCTCAAAACGGCTCTTATAAACTCATTCATAAAAAGGTATAAGTGACTGATGGTATTTCAAGTCTTGCCTCTCCCAGGCCTAAAGACTTTCTTATAAGAAAAAAAAAAAAAAAAAAAAAAAAACCTGTGGAAGAGAACTTTGGATTCTGGCCAAATAGAGTAACAGGTGCCAGATTTACCCTCCCATCTGAAACAATTAAAAAGTACCTTAACTCTGTCCTAGACAAAGTTCAATGACTTTTAGAAGAGTACAAACATATCCAATGTCCGACAAGATAAAGTTCCCAGTGTCTACCATCTAATCAAAAGAATTCCCAGTGGAAGCGCCTTGGACTGGAATATGAGCTCCCTGAGGCCAGAGATTTTTATCTGTTTCATTCTCTGCTGTATCTTCAGTTCCTAGAAGAGTGTCTGGCACATAGTAGGCATGCAATTACGATTCGTTGGATAATGAATGAATGAATCGGGGTGTCAGACGTCAGTGAGGATAATGGGAGGTGCTAATCTGTGCAGGGGTCTCTCCCAAAACCCCAGAAATCACCTGACACTTAAGGCCTGCCTAACTGATAAATTCCTCAAGTCAGCCCAAGCATGGCAGCCCAAGCATGGAGGATGAGACCCTCTAAAGAGTGACAGCCTTTAGGGGAGGGAGACATCTACAAGCCCTGTCACAAGCCCTGTCATCACCTCAGGAGGAAAAGGAAAGCTTGTTACTCATTGATAACCATCACTGTGAACGACTCCTCCACACGGCACCCCTCCCCACCCCCTACCTTCCAGCCCTGGCCTGTTTACTGGAAGACGCGACCCTGTTTTTTACATCCTGAGCGATGACAGATTTCATCACTGGCTTAAGGCAAGACAGAGAAGCTGGGTGTCAGGCCCTGGTGATAAGTCATGTCAGATTTTGGGTGGTTGTGGTAGTGGTGGTGGGGGCAACTGTAGCCGTTACCACACAGGTTTATGCCTCAATCTGCTCATTCATTTGTTAATCCTTTTATTGCGTACATATTAATTTGGGTCAGGCCTTGTGCGTGGGGGCTCCAGACACAAGACAAAAATGACAAAAATGAAAATGACGGTGATTAAAACGAATTGCAAAAGCCACCATTTTCTGAATGATTCCTTCAGAAGGCAACATGCTGGCGTGGCTAGAAACGTAATTCTGAGCAAGACACCCAGGTTCCTAGTCTTAGCTCTGCTTCTTCATAGCAGTGTGACTCTGGGCAAGGTATCTAACCTCTCTGAGCCTCCATGTTCTCATCTCTAAAATGGGGCAGTTGTGATTAAATGAGTTAACCCAGTTAAAGCGTGTAGAACACTATTTGCTATTTCTTTGCTTGATGTCATATTAAATACTTTACAGCCTCAGTCAGAAGAGGGAAATTGTATCATGGTTAAGAGCTCTGAGTTGGAACTTGGACACCCACTTACTGTGTGACTTTGAGCAGGTAACTTACCTTCTCTGAACCTCAGTTGCCTCATCTGGGAAGTGATGCAAAGTAAATTCCACAAGGGTAGGGAATTCTGTTTTGTGCACTCCTATCTCTACAGTGCCTTAAACAGCACATGGCCAATAATAGATGCTAATGCAGTAACCAGGACCAATTATATAATTTGTGGGACACACTGCAAATGAAAATGCAGGGACCTTGTTTTAAAAATTATTAAGAATTTTGGGTCAGGTGTGGTGGCTCATGCCTGTAATCCTAGCACTTTGGGAGGCCAAGGCAGGTGGATCACAAGGTCAGGAGTTCGAGACCAGCGTGGCCAACATGGTGAAACCCCGTCTCTACAAAAATACAAAAATTAGCTGGGTGTGGTGGTGGGCACCTGTAGTCCCAGCTACTTGGGAGGCTGGGGCAGGAGAATTGCTTGAACCTGGGAGACAGAGGTTGCAGTGAGCCAAGATATGCCACTGTACTCCAGCCTGGGCGACAGAGTGAGACTCCATCACAAAAAAAAAAAAAAAAAAAAAAAAAAAATTATTAAGAATTTCGTCTGGGCTCAGTGACTCACACCTGTAATCCCAGCACTTTGGCAGGTGGATCATCTGAGGTTGGGAGTTCAAGACCAGCCTGACCAACATGGAGAAACACCATCTCTACAAAAAATACAAAATTAGCTGGGCGTGGTGGCACATGCCTGTAATCTCAGTTACTCAGGAGGCTGAGGCAGGAGAATCGCTTGAACCCGGGAGGTGGGGGTTGTGGTGAGTTGAGATCATGCCATTGCACTCCAGCCTGGGCAACAAGAACTAAACTCTGTCTCAAAAAAAAAAAAAAAAAAAAAAAAAAAAAGAAGAATTTCAAGACAGCATTGGTGGAGAATTAAACCAAGTGTGGGGGCCTTCTAAGTGTGGGGTGGCCCTCTGTGACTGCATAGGCCACATGCCCATGAAGCTGGCTCTGATCACAATACTCCCCAATATTGTTGTTATGAGGAGAAAGGGAAAGTGAGTTAAAGTGTATAGGGCAAGTGGCACATACCTGGCCCAGCGTAGACTCTCAGTGCTAACTGATATTACTCTTATCATATTTCATATTCACTGACAGCCCTGTGAGAGCAGATAGGTGTTATCCCACCTCACAGGTGAGGGATTAAATGACTTGCTCAGGCTGGGCACAGTGACTCACGCTTGTAATCTCAGCACTTTAGGAGGCAGAGGTAGGAGGATTGCTTGACCCCAGAAGTTCGAGACCAGACTGGGCAACATAGCAAGACCCCACCTCTACCAAATCAAACCAAACAAAATAAAACCCAACTTGCTCACTGCCCTAGTGTTTATGGGAGGTAGAGGCAGGATTTGAACCCAGGTCAGCTGACGTGTGACAGAAGGGTGGGTGGAGGAAGGGGGAAGGCCCAGAAGCCTCGCAGGTAGCTGGTAGGGAGGTGTTTGGGGGTTTGGACAGCTGCTCCCTCCTCTAGGGCTGGCTGTCCCATCAGCGAGGGGTTGTTTCTGTTGCTCAGTGGGGAATCTGCAGGCCTGGACAGGCTCTGAGCCGGGAAACAGGAGTGGCCCTGCTTGTCCTATGACACACTGCGAGTGGAGGGGGCTGTGGCCAGCGGGGACATAGGGGAGTCACACCCGCCGAAGCCCAGCTCAGAGTCAGGACTGGGGCCAAAGGGGCACAGCCTGGGCTGGCCATGGAGGTCCGAAGTGAGGGATTAAAATCCAGAGTGGCAGCCTCTGCCACTGACAGCCCCAGCTCTTCCCGTGGCCCCAAAGGCCGGTGTGTCCCTGTCCCACCGGTTTCCTCATCTCCCTCCCTCCCATGCACCTCCCTGCTCACCTCAGTCCCACTGGCCTCCCTGAACCTCCTGAAAACCAACCAAGCTCTCTCCCCACACAAGGCCTTTGCTGTTGGTTTGCCTCTGCTGTAAACAACCTTTCCCTGGCTCCTTCACACTTACCAAATCCTAGCTCCAGTGTCACCTCCCTTAAAAAGCCTTCCCTTGGCTGGGCGTAGTGGCTCATGACTACACTCTCAGCACTTTGGGAAGCCAAGGTAGGAGGATCACTTGAGCCCAGGAGTTGAAGACCAGCCTGGGAAACAGAGACCCCATCTCTACAAAAAATAAAGATTTTTAAAAAGCCTTCCCTTCTCTTCCTTTCTAAAGCACTGCCATGTTCTCACTTCTTCCACATCCCCCTGCAATGCCTGTTTTCCATTCCAATCTGCGATTCCCATTCCCTTCCTTATTGACTTGCTATGTGTTCACCACCTGACTCCCCTCAGTAGAACACACACAGATGAACCCTGAGGGCGGGGTCCATGTTCAGGGCTCCATTCCTCTCATCTAGAGCAGCGGCTGCCACACAGCAAGGACTCCATGCATACTTTTTGAATCAGTGGGCGAATGAATAGCCAGCTGTACCATGTTGGAAAAATGACTTGTGGTCTTTGAATCTGTTTCCCCATCTCTAAAATGAGATTGGGACTCCTGCCTCTGTCACCCACGCTGGCAAATGGCATGATCTCAGCTCACTGAAACCTCCACTTCCTGGGTTCAAGAGATTCTCCTGCCTCAACCTCCCAAGTAGCTGGGATTACAGGCACCCACCACCATGTCCAGTTAATTTTTCTATTTTTAGTAGAGATGGGGTTTCGCCATGTTGGCCAGGCTGGTCTTGAACTCCTGACCTCAAGTGACCCGCCTGCCTTGGCCTCCCAAAGGGCTTGGATTACAGGCGTGCCTGGCCTCGTGCCACTTCTTAAGGTGGATTACAATCATACAATCAAGCTACCATTTATTGAGGACTTACTGTGTTCCAGGCACTGTACTAGATACTTAAAACCCGGCATCTAGAAAGTGATCAGTTAATTACAATATTCCCTATGTTACTACGATTGCTACTACTAAACTCTATAGGTTGGGGTCCCTGATTGAGGGACTGAACCCTTGATCCTAAAATGCCCCCCTGCTTCCCCCACCCCCAGAGGCTACCCCAAGGAAGAGAGACAATCCCAGGGGCTTGAAATAAAGGGAACATGCTGGGAAAGAAAACTACTCTCAGGCAGGGTGCAATGGCTCCTGCCTGTAATCCTAGCACCTTGGGGAGCTGAGGTGGGCAGATCACTTGAGGCTAGGAGTTCGAGACCAGCCTGGGCGACATGGTGAAACCCCGACTCTACAAAAAATACAAAAATTAGCTGGATGCAGTGGTGTGCACCTGTAGTTCCAGCTACTCAGGAGGCTGAGGCAGGAGAATCACTTGACCCGATAGCAGAGATTGCAGTGAGCCAAGATCACGTCATTGCACTCCAGCCTGGGTGACAGAGCAAGACCCTGCCTCAAAAAAAAAAAAATAAAATAAAATAAAAAGAGAAAGAAAAAAGAAAAGAAAACTACTCTGATATTCTCAAAGGGGTTCCTTCTTTTTGGATTTCTCTATCTCTCTTGAGGATCCCATCCCACCCCACCCCCATTCAACCCCGCCTTTCCCAACCACATACCAAGAATAAACCTCACACCCTGTGTGCCTCGAGTGTCATAGTTTCCTGCCTCTATGGTCACGGGCTGCTCGGGCTCAGAGGGATTTTCCAGCTCAGGGCAGTGCTGGTGGGACCCGAGGCAATGTGACATAGGAGGAGCTGTGATGAAGACCTAGAAGGAGGAAAGCCCCGAGCAGATGCTGACAGAGAACTGGAGTGGGGCCTCACAGAGGTACCTGGAGTGCAGGCTCCCGGGAAGGGGAACCAAGCCTTGCCTCTGATTTCACCAAGTGCTCTCAGAGCAGGCCATCCGGCAGCTTGCTCCCAGCCAAATGCTACTGACCAAGGACTTCCAAACTGACCAGGCCCAGAACAAGAAATTCTGTTTAGTGTCTGGAGATCTAGGGCCAGGCTGGATCCTAATAGATTCCAGTTTAGAGGGCTGTCCACTCCTTGGTGAAGTCCTATTTTCTTGGCCCTCTCTTCCCTTTGAACAGTGATCAAGGACTCTCCCAAATCCTGCTCTAATCCCTCGTAGCCCCACTGACAGCCATCACAGTCAGACACCCTCCTCAGAGAGCCATTTCTCCTCCTTGGTCTTTCTCTTCTAATTTCCACTCCTGATATCTAGCTAGCTGCTTCTTCTAAACATGTCAAGGGACCTAGTTTCCAGTTCTGCTCTGGCTCTTACTCAGTGGCTTCTAGTAATTCCCAGCCCTTCTCTGTGCCTCAGTTGCCCCATTTGTAAAACGGGGCCCTAAAGGGTTCCTTTCAGCTCTGACATTCTCGGATCCAAAGTACGGAGATTAAGCCACAAGAATCCCCACCAGAAGGTAGGGAATCCAGCCTGGACCACACCCCCAGGGCTTGACAGTTTCCTACCCAGCACCACTTGCCCACCTTCCTAGCTGTGTGGCCATAGCCAAGTTTCTGTTGAATGGACAGAGGGTAAGATGTCAGGATTAAAAAGTCAAAGTGAGCCAGACGTGGTAACTCACGCCTATAATCCCAGCATTTTGTGAAGCCAAGGTGGATTGCTTGAGGCCAGGAGTTCGAGACCAGCCTGGGCAACATGGCGAAACACCATCTCTACTACAAATATAAAAGTTAGCTGGGTGTGGTGGTGTATGCCTGTGGTCCTAGCTACTCAGGAGGCTGATGCACAAGAATCACTTGAACCTGGGAGGCGGAGGCTGCAGTGAGCAGAGATCGCACCACTGCACTTCAAGCCTGGGTGACAGAGCGAGACCCTGTCTTTAAAAAAAAAAACAAACAAAAAAAACCTTAAACTAGCCAACACAGTGCTTTCTAACCCTAGCAGGAGTGCATTAAGAGGAAGCCGTTATGAATTTAGAAGGACAAGAAGACAGAAAGTCTGAAGAAAAAACAAGTAGCCAAAGAACAATCCGTTTGACAAATAATAGGAGCATCTCCTATGTGTACTGAGGTTACAATATGGATATGGAGTTCAAGAACTCAGAACCCAAGGTGCTTAAGGTGGAGGAGACAGATTTGTCAACAAATGTTGTTATACCCTTCTGACTATTCCCTGGTATCTGTGGCCATTGTATACAGTTGTGTAGGTTGCTGACTGCACAAGGGTGCTGGCTCAGGCATAGAGGGGCTGAAATTCAGGTCAGGTCCCTTTCCTAAACATGGGCCTGTGGGGCTGCATCTTCCCAGAGGGGCACCTTCTCCTAATTCTTACAAATGTGCTGTGTGGGCTGGCCTAGTCCCTGCAGCATCCACATTACCTTGTTCTGACCCAATCAGCTCCCCAGCTACGAAAGCACTCATTTTAGGTACAATTTAGTCACCCCTCCACACACACCTATTACCTCATGAGCACTCCATCATCCTTAACTTGGCCTTCAAGCTCCTTCGTGACCTGCCCCCAGCTCCTTCTCTGCCATCTCTACCATCTCCTTCCCTGTCATACTCCTCATACCACACAGTCCACACAGTAGAGTTTCACTTCCTTGAAGGAGCCATGATCCATCTGATCTTTGCATACGCTGCTTCCTCTCTCTAGAATAACCCCCTTTTCTCTGATTGGCTGGCTAATGCCTCAAATGTTCAGATCTCAATTTAAACTTGATTCTCTCCAAGAAGCCTTTGATTTTGTTTTGTTTTGAGACAGAGTGTCGCATTGCTGCCCAGGCTGGAGTGCAGTGGCGCGGTCACAGGTCACTGCATCCTCGACTTTTGCCCAAGAGACCCTCCTATCTCAGCCTCTCAAGTAGCTAGGACAATAGAAACAGGGCACCATACCTGACTTTTTTTTTTTTTTGATAGAGGTGGGGTCTCACTGTGTTGCCAAGGCTCAAGAAGCCTTCTTTGAATCCTCTCCACTCCCTTCCTTCTCACTCAATCAGATCACATTCCTGATGCCCTCATAGTGCCTGTGCTTCTCTAAAGCATTTGTCAGAATTATAATGAAATGATTAATAGTATTAATTATTGATTATTGCCTTTCTCCTCTAGGAAATTAGAAGCTCCTGGAATATGGGGACTGTGTCTTTTATATGCTGTATATGCTACCTAGGCCATCTATCTGCTATATGCTAGAATCCTAGGACATATAGTAGGTGCTTAATAAATTATTATTGAATAAATGAATGACTATAGCTCGACATAATACAGGCCATTAGACAGGTGATTCTACTTATTTGAGGACAGGGAAGGCTGTACATATAGCTGGTGCTCAATAAATAATAATTGAATAAATAATTATTGACTAAATGAATGACTATAGCTCAATCTAATACAGGCCAGTGGACAGGTGATTCCACTTGTCTGAGGACAGGGAAGGCCTGTACATGGCGAGGTCTCCTTGTTTCAGAGGGGTCTGGGAAGACAAGTCAAACTCCCCAGGGACTCTGGGGACAGGCAGAAGCAGCATGTGCTGGGCCTGAGGGGGGCCAGTGCAGAGGGGCCACTCCCAGATGCTTGGCCATCTTGTGGAAGCCAGAGGTCTCATCTTCGCCAGTTTTCTGGGTGTCCCAGGATGTGGCTTTGCTGAGAATATTTATGAGAGATTCCCCAAGTCTCTGGACAGAGTGAGCGTGAACCACATATGGTTCCAAACTCTGTCATAAAACCACAACTTGGCTGTGGGATCCCTAATGCGCAGTCTCGACTTGGCCAGCAGTCTGGGGGAAGATTGTTCTCCCGGACGCAGAGAGAGCCATTGTGGTTCAGGGAGAGCAGAACCAGGAGGCCTTAATGAATACCTTCTTGAAGCCGACCTTAAAATGCTTTCAGCTGTGGGGTGGGGCAAAGGACTGCTACCCCCATGACAGGGCATTCCCAGGCCAGTTCATTTATCTTGAATTTAGACTTATTAAATTTTAAATTAAAAAATTTTTTAATACCATGGAACTTCTCAAACACGTTCACTACAGGAGAACAGGATAATGAACGTCACACCCAATACTCAGCCTCAAGGGCTATCAATTCACAGATAATTTTGCTTTATTTTTGCACCACCACCCCCATGGAATAGTTTAAATCAGATTCCAGGCAACATATAATGTTATTTGCAAGTGCCGTGATTGGTTACTCCCTTTTAAAACACAAGCAATCCTGTTCATTATGGGGAAAAAAAATGTTTTTGTTTTGTTTTTTGGGTTTTCTTTGAGACAGAATCTCACTCTGTCACCCTGGCTGGAATGCAGTGGCGCGATCTCAGCTCACTGCAACCTCTGCCTCCTAGGTTAAAGCCATTCTCCTGCCTCAGCCTCCCAAGTCGCTGGGATTACAGTTGCCCACCACCACACCCTACTAACTTTTTGTATTTTCAGTAGAGACAGGGTTTCACTGTATTGGCCAGGCTGGTCTCGAACTCTCAAGTGATCCACTT